CCAAGGGGGGCACCAGGAATGAGCAGGATCTGCATGGATGTGCTGGTTCCTCTGAGCACACATTATAGCTAAGGTGAAAGGAACTGAGCCCTGCATGTGGTGGGTCACTACTGGTGATTACTCTGCCCTACTTCAACCCAATCAGCTTGCTGGGTGGCTGGTGCCCAGACCCTGACGAGCTGTGGTAGATGTTCCATAATGTGCGGTCTGCATACATCTGTTCCTTGTTCACATCTGATGTGCTAGTGACTCTCAATGCAGTGTCACACAGGGAACAGACGGGGTGACAAGCAGCTGTGCTTGGGTGTGCTTCTGAAATTGTGTTCCCCTCCAGGACTCAGGAGTGGCACAGCTCACAGAGCAGTGGGGAGACAGGTCAAACAACAAACTTTCACCTGGGGCTGAGAACTCTCTGTTGAGTATTGGAGTTGTGCCGTTAATCAGACTCCTCATGTTGCCAGCAAACACCAGCGGAAGAGCTGGCCTAGGAGGTGACATTCAGGATGTCCTTTCTGTCACCCACCACAGCAGCTGAGGAGCTCCTGTTACAGAGCAGGGGAGAGGGGTGGGCAGGCTAAGACGCCTCCGGGGAAGACAAAGTCAAAAGACAGCAAGTGGCAAAAGGGGGAGGGAAGGAGAACAAGGATTAGGTGCATAATATTAGCACAAGCAGCAACTGCATCCTAAAAAAGACAGCAGTGAGGTGGTATCTTCCTCAATTGGCACTCACTTGGGACAGATGCACAAATCCTACTTCTGGGCAGATTTCAGTGCTGTAAATGGAAATAAACTGGTATGGAATTTCTTTAAAAATTAGGCTTTTCCAGGCTAAGACAACCTAGTGGATTACCAGAGAATTTTCTGAGTGACACTCACTTTATTGAAGTTGCCAACAGGATACACAGCAGAATTTTCTAGTGACATTTCTGACCTAACTTGTTCTTGCAGAAAAGTTCCTTTTGCATCCTTAGAAAATTTATCAATGGTTTCATTATTTGATGTTGGAAGACAGATTCCCTTGTGGGTCAGGCTAAACATTTCTTTAATTGCTCTCTGCATTCATCTCATGTGCCAAGGAAAGAATACAAGTCCCTGCTGCTCCTGAAGGGCAAATCAGTTGTGCAAAGCAGAACAGCTCCAGGTTTCTTTTCCTGGATCATCCTACATAAAACATATACCACAGGGTGGGCCAAAAAAGAGTGACAAGCCAGGTCACTGTGGGGTTGGCCACAGCTGAAAACTTGGACCACTCTGCACCACCCCCATCCACTTTCCCTCTGCCAGAAAGAAAAGCAGCTCCTGATGCTGCTGGACCCCAGCCTGAGCTACCTGCCCTGCCTGGGGAGCTGAGGTCTGGCCATGTTGGGGGCTTCCAGGCTCCACCTGTGAGTAGCCCCTGAATTCTTAAGCCCTCTGGGAAGGTCTGGGTTTTCACTCTGTCCTCCCAGTACAGCTTGTGTTCCCAGGTTTGGGAAATGCTGCCTGAGGATTTGTTCTCTGCAGCGCAGACAGCTCTGCTCAGCACTGTGCCTGGCCACGAGGAACAAGCCTTGTACCTTCTCAGCAGTAATGAAACAACAGAATAAATGCAGCAAGTGATTTCTTCAGAACTAAGCTTTACAAAGAATTTCACAGGTGAGGAATGCCTTAGTTGTTTGCAGATTATCACTGTAGTGTTTCCCAGCAGTTCCCCTCAGATTTCTCCTGACCTTTTGTCCCCAGACCTGTCCTGAGTTGCCACTTCTTCTGCCCCCACATCCTCTAATGTCTTATTTCTTTTCCTTGTACACATCCATCTTGCTTTCCTCCTCCCAGACCCTTTCTGAACTCCCCAGCACTGTTCCAACTCCCTCTCAGTTCTGTGGTTACTCTTCCACGCTCTCTCTTAACAATTTTTCTTCACAACAAGAGTCACAACATATCGAGTTCAGCTGCTCACACATAATGCATTGGGGCCCAGCTCTTTTTGATCTGAACATGTTCAAGAGACTGCTCCTGCACTTGGCTAAGAGAGGGGACAAGACTTTCTGCAATGTTCTGCTGTTCCTGGAGTGAGCCCTGCCTCTGCTTTCCTCATCAGGGAAGGGATTGATGGACTGGGACCTGCAAACCAAAATATGGTCTTCTTGGTCCACAGGCATTAATTTGTTGATTTACAAGAGAAGGGTTGCCCTGTGCACCCCACGGAGCCCCGACTGACTTCTGGCAGTACCTGGGCAGCTGCTGTGTTGCCCATGGGCCAGCACATCCCAGCAGGGAGTGGCCACGGCCACGGTGCTGGGCCCCGTTCTGATGTTTAACCTTTCAGCTGGCAATGGAGCTGTGCTGCAGAGAGTCTCTCTGGGGTAAGAATAGCAGCTGCTGCCTTGGGACACAGCACACGTGTCCAGCTCCTCCACGGCAGCACGTTGCACTGCGACATAGAAGGCAGCCTACCCGGCCAGGAATGTCTTCAGGCGCTATTAGTGGAAGCAAATCATGCCCACAAACAGGCACAACCCCGCACAGGAGTCTTGGGAGAGCGGGGCTATTTTGGGCTTTTGACCTTGAGGATGAAAGGAGACACATGATGGGGCTGATCCTCCTGCTAGGGGCCTCCTCCAAAGCTCCTTTCAGCTTTGTCCCCTCCTCCAGCAATGGCTCTTGTGAAGGCTGAGGGGCAGTTTGGTGTGGCCTTGGAGTGCAGGAGAGGGCAGAGGAAGCTGTGAGTTTTCTGGGGGGTAGGGCCAGTCCCCAGTGCCATCAGCAGTGCCCTGCTGTGCTCAGGGCAGGTCCTGCCTGAGGGTGTGCACCTGTGCCTGAGGTCAGGGCATGGGACCACCTGCTTTATTCTCAGCCATGACCATGAGAGTGAGAGATACCAGGGAGTATTGTAAGGCTCCAAACCACTTGTTGAAATTGTGCATTGGAAACACAAATCCTTCGCATCCAGAAGGGTATTTACTTCTTTTTACTGAAATTCTATTTCTGAGTGGTTCTTCAGCACCAGGAATGTTTGAGAAATTCGTTTTCTTCTTCCCAGACATCACAAATTCCCATCCCAACTTATTCCCATCCTTTTGTCATCCTCTTTGTGGTGTGGATTTCTTTCATTCCACCTTCTTTTATGTCTCATTTATTTCTGTTTAATTTACCTTGCTTTGTAAAAAGTTGCAGATTAAACTGTCAGAGGAAAAATCACCACTTTCCCAGCAGAGTTTTCTGGCTGGATCAACCAGCCAAGTTGGTCTTCCCTGTGTCTCCATATTCAGCTGGACTGATGCACAGCAGCAGTGATAGCAGGCAGGAACTCAGTTCAGGGGACTGAGCATGTATTGGGTAGCTTATAAAGCACTGCCACTAACTGCAATCCCACACCCTTGGGGGTCAGTCTCATGCTAGCTCCTGGAAGAAGGCCACCTGGCATAGTCACAGCCTTTTAAGCCATTCCCATGCACATCCAGCACTGCTGCAGACAAAGACTCCATCAGCTCAGCCAGCAGACAAGAGCCACAGCTCCTCAGTCATGGTTATTTCTCCAGCAGCCTAATTAGTTACCCTCCTCAGTCTGGCTTTGCCAGCACCTCTGTGCTTGTTGTGCATCCCCTGTGTCTGTCAGAACACAGAGCAGTGGGTGTGGGCACAGTCCGCCCTTGGCTGCTCACTTCAAGGTCAGGCTGGTGATAAAGTCAGTCTTTATGCCCCATTTGGTGCTGTATTTTGTGGTTCAGGTTCCTGTGGATCACCTGGCCTGGTGATGACTGAACCAGGGCCTCAGCACTGGAGGCTCTGTGCCTGGGATGTTGGAGAGGGCTGTGTGCTTCTCTGGGGATCCCCAGCACTGCAGTGCTCACTCTTGTGCTGCCCTGGACCATCATGGCTCAGCACAGCCCAAATATCTTTGCAGAAACTCCAGCTGTGAGGGTTTGTGCCCCATGGCCGTGTGTTTCTTTCAGTCTGTTTTGCTTCTTACTGGAGGCAATGGCAGCACAGGCTTTCCACAGTGCTTCATTGCTAATCCTGAGCCCAACCCTGCCCTCGTGCTCTCAGGATCCTCCTCCCCTCCAAACCAGCCAGCCCCACATGCATGGTGTGTTATGCCAACACAGGCACCATGGTCCTGGACAGAGTCAGCCTGGGGACTCCAGGTGCCAGGTGGGAAAAGCCAGGCTCTGGGACCTGCCATTCAGCCAACCCTGTCATGAGTCAGAGCCAACACAAACCAAAGGTGAATTCCACTTTATGAAATGGGAAACAGCTGCACTGCCAGCAGAAAGGAGCTGATGCAGTGGGTGTAGGGATTATCCTGCTAAAGCCACATCCATGCAGAGCCTTGCAGGGGCTGCTGTGCTCTGCCCTCTGTGCTTTGGGTCTCAAAGAACCAGGGACTGTGTAGCTGGGGCAAGAGCAAACAGCAGACTTTGGACCAAAAGTGGGCAAGAGGGCTGGGAGGATTACATGACAATGCCATGTTGACACCTGGATACTCTGGAATGAATAATGACAGGCTGGTAGGAGTTACTAGACCTGCCTAGCAGTTAGTAATTTTCTGTTTCTTTTGCACAGTTAGTCCTAAACAAGTTACAACTGTTTGTCTGCAGGTTCATGAAATAGAGTATTGCACTGAGTAACCAGTCATTTGACGTGGTGGGTAGGGTCAGTGACATGGCCTAGGAGCACAGCAGGACTTTGGATTGCATCCTGAAGCACAGCACTGTGCCAGGAGCTGCTGAGAACAAGGTGCAGCTGGGAATCTCTCTCCTGAGAATGTGCTGCTTCCAGGCTACAGCAGCTGAAACAGAATTAATGTCTTGGGAAAGCAAAATGCCTGTCAAACCTCTAGGTTTCAATTCAGGATAAAATTGGTCAAACTGGTCACAGAAGCAGTGAGACTCAAATCCTGAGCTTTGACTATAATTAGTAATAAAATGAAGCTCTCATTTAAACATTCACATTTGAAGCATCTGAAGTTGCAGGTATCTATTTTATTGACACTGGTACAGAAGCAGCAACAGAAAATGTTTGTATTCATAAACAAAGTTTTACTTTATTACTTTACTTTTGTGGGAAATTACTTCCACACCTGGAGAGATACTTTTTGGAAGTTATCCCAGAAGAAGCTCATTTCTCAGTTCCTAACACCACCTAGAAAGGAGAGGCTTTGTTTAGTCTACACATGCCAAGATGAATCTTTTGATCCCTAAAATCATCCACCTCAGTGCACCATCCAGCTAGGATGTACAAGTGGAGCCTGAGCCAAGGCAAGGATGTCTGGAACCCTTAAAATCACTGTGTGAGTTGAATATATGCAGGTAACACCAGGATGGCCACCATCCACAGCTGAAGAAAATATTAATTCCATTATTTCCCTGGCAAAACAAGGACACAAGCACTGCTAAGCTTATTCCATCTTAAGAGGGGCAAAAAGCAGCAAGACCTAAGCCTTGCATTATGGGCCTAGAGCTGTCACCAGGCTGTGTTTTACAATCTCTGAACTTCTTATCTCACTTTCCCCCTTACAAGGCCCCAATCTTATGGGAAGAAAGCTTTCAAGTCTTTACCAACATTCTGTTACCTGCTTTCAGAAAATTCCATTTCTTCTTTAGCACACAGAAAACAACCCAAAGGAAACACATGATAAAAACACGGAAAAAGATTTAAAAATCTGCAAAGCAGATACATGAATTCTCTCATACTGAGTGTTTTCTAACATCTCCCAGGTACAAGGGAGTATCAGGCACCTCAAAGCAGGTTCTAAACCTACAGGTTATTGCAGACAGTGGTCCTTAGTCAATCTGTTCAACCAGCCTTCACCTGGCATTATCCAATAGAGGATACCTGAAATCTTGCCTCTGTCTGGGCTGCCAGTTCAATTAGAGATTGAGCATTCCCTCTGTAAGGTTATCTCATGTATAGAGAGGAAGGTTCCTTTGCTCAGGAACCTGGACTCAGCCATCCTAGTGCATCCCCTGGGGTGTGGGCAAGACAGCCTGGCAAGCACTGAGTCAAAGACTTTTACTGGTGCACGGCTTTAGGTGAGGGTAGGAGGGACCTGGACAGGCTGGATTGATGGGCCATATCAAACAAGATGAGGTTCAACAAGACCAAGTGTCAGTGCTGGCCACAACAATCACCTTCAGGCTGGGGACAGAGTGGCTGGACAGCAGCCAGGCAGAAAGGGACCCGCAGATGCTGCTTGACAGCTGACTGAACACGGGCCAGCAGTGGGCCCATGTGGCCAAGAAGGCCAATGGCACCTGCCTGGCTCAGGAATGGTGTGGCAGGGCCAGGGAAGTGATTCCTGCCCTGTGCTGGGCACTGGGGAGGCCGCACCTCGAGTGCCGTGCCCAGCTCTGCTCCCCCGGTTCAGGAGGGGCTGGAGATGCTGCAGGGACAACAAGGCTGGGGAGGGTCTGGAGCACAAATCCTGTGAGCAGCGGCTGAGGGAGCTGGGGGTGTTTATCCTGGACAAGAGGAGGCTCAGGGGAGACCTCATCACTCCCTACAACTCCCTGGCAGGAGGGGACAGCCAGGGGGGTTCGGGCTCTTCTCCCAGGGAGCAGGGACAGGACACAGCCTTAAACTGGGCCAGGGGAGCTCCAGGCTGGAGATCGGGAATCTCTCCACAGAAAGGGTGTTTGGGCACTGGAATGGGCTGCCCAGGGAGGCGGGGGAGTGACCATCCCTGGAGGTGTTTAAGGAAAGCCTGGATGTGGCACTGAGTGCCGGCTTTGGCTGATGAGGAGGTGTTGGGTCACGGGTCACGGTGATCTCAAAGGTCTTTTCCAACCAGGTTAATTCTGGGACTCTTGTGTGACTCTGTGACTCACTGAAAGCTGCAGACCAGCCTCTGGAAGAACCAACACTGCCTGTTGAGTCTCAGGCCAGAGCTTTTGGGAGAAAGCAAGTTCTCCATAGGGTCTCTTCTAGTGTGAAAATGCTTTATGAGAAAGGGGATGCTGCAGAAGGCAGCCTGAGGCCAAAGTTCTCCGTTTCCTGGATATGTGCCCTACGCACTAGTTATTCTTCCAAAACATGGACTGAGAGAATTTTGTCTCCAGCCACAAACTAAGCTAGATTAGTGCAGCCAAAAGGTGTTACTCCTGCTGAGATCATACTAGGAAAGGCATCTCTAGATCTTGTACCACTCTTGGGCTGGAGATAGACAACTACCCAGGAAGTTCAGCTAAGGACACAGAGCTTCTGGTCTTTTCTCAATAATAATGCTAGTTCTGCCTGAGGCTCAGAGAAGGGCTATTCTAGAAATGTTCAGTTACATTGACTCTCATTACTTTCACTTTATGAGGCAACTCCTTAAATCTGAATCTAATGTGATGAAACTGGCCAGAAGACTCATGCTCAGCATCAGAGCCTGAAATGCCAGTCACAGAATCACAGTTCACAGAATGGTGTGAGCTGGAAGGGACCTTCAAAGGCCATCTAGTCCAAAACCCCTGCCATGGGCAGGGATATCTTTCACCAGACGAAGTTGCTTGGAGTCCCATCCAACCAGAGCTTCAACATTTCCCATGATGGGGATCCACAGCTTCTCTGGACAACCTGTTCCAGTGTCTCACCACTCTCATTGTACATATTTCTTCCTTATGGTCAACATGAACATACCCAGTTTCAGTTTCAAACCATCACCCCTTGCCCTGTCACTAAAAGTCCTTGTAAGGAGTCTTTCACTGTCTTTCTTATAAGACCCCATTTAAGCAGAATAAAGTCTGCTCAGAGGCTTCTCTTCCTCAGGTTGAACAACCCCAACCCATTCAGCTTGTCTTGAAAAGCCCCTTCCTTCCAGAGCTGTCATTTCTAAATGATGCCTGTACCACTGGCAAGGCACAAATCTGCTGCTAGGCTCATTTGAGCAAACAGCACACCTGCAGTAAAGCCTTACCTTTGTAGCAGCGCCTTCTCGGGCCTTAGCTCTGAGTTTATTTCCTTGGCTCTCAGCAATATCTGCCCTTTCCAGGGCCTCACCTATCTTATGCAGTGCATTTCTCAGTTTGGAGAGATCAGCATTGGCTTGTTGATTCTGAAATTGCAAAATGAAAATTCAAAACCATCTGGCAATATGCTGGGGCACAGAGACAGCTTTTAAACTGACAGTCCTATGAACTGGTAAATAAAGATTTGCTTCACTTAAGTGACTCACAGCTTCCTCAGCTTGTCTTTTGTAGGATTTGATTTTCATCTGCAGTCCATTTACCATATCTTGCAACTTAATCATGCTCTTCTTTTGTTCTTCACACTGTGGAAAGAGAACATGGAATTTTATATCCTTGGGAGACAAAACATCAGAATTGCTTTCTATTTTTACCCACCTGAAAAGTGAGCTCTTTGAAATGCTGTTCATATTTGCAGATGTTTTTCCTAACCTCTGAGGATTTTTTCTGTTCTTCTTCCAGTTCACCTTCTAATTCTTGGATCTGCTGGATTAATCCACAATTTGCTTAAGCCCTCACACAGGACTTGGAGAAGAAAGATGTTTCTGACACCCATATTTAGTGCTGGTACCCACCCTGGCCTCCAGCTTCTGGGCCTGCTTCTTCCCTCCCTTCAGTGCCAGCTGCTCGGCCTCATCCAGACGGTGCTGCAGGTCCTTCACTGTCTGGTCCAGGTTCTTCTTCGTCCTCTCCAGGTGGGCACTGGTGTCCTGCTCCTTCTTCAGCTCTTCTGCCATCCTGGCTGCCTTGGAAGGGAGATGACACAAAAAACTGGAAGAATGTGAAAGAACAGCACATACTGTGCACCAGCGGAGGATTAACTCCTGTGTCCTGCTGACCATTCCTGCTACCCCACTCCCTATTTTGTTTGGGTTTTTACATGAGATGATAATGGCAAAAACATGACAAAAATAGTAGGGAAAAGGATGGGAAAAGTCTGCCTTACTGTACACAGAGTTGGAGTGAGAGAAGGGGTAAATTCTCTGTTCCACTGCACATCCCACTGTGACCTCACTGACAGCTGGGTGCCAGGGGGAAAACAACTGGAGCAACAGCAGAGTCTGGGAACAGGACATGGCACAGCTGAAAAGCATCTGTGCTCAGCACATCTGGGGTGTGCTTCAGTGCTTGCCCTGCTACTGCCACAACCTCCTGGAGGATAATGCCACAAAGGCACAAAATAGTTTAAAATAATCTGTGTTATTTTAGAAAACTAAGATTTATTTTGCTCTCAAATGCTGGATTCCTACACAATATGATTAAGCACTTTGGTGAAATATTGAATGATATTATAATTAATGTTTTGGTTATATAATAATAATTAATGTAGGATTCAACAAATTGCTTTGGAAGCAAAATATCTGAAAAGGTCTAAATTGAAAAATGCGACCACTAGAAGTTTTATATAAATATATAATTCATTGTAATGTTTTCTTTCTCTTTTATTCAAATGGAATAGAAATCATTAAAACACAAGAATACCTCAACATGAGGAAGAGCTTCTTTCCATGGAGGATGGCAGAGCATGGAACAGCTACCCAGGGAGGGCATGGAATCTCCTTCTGCAGACATTCCAAACCTGCCTGGACACGTTCCTGTGTCACCTGCTGCAGGTGACCCTTCCTGGACAGAGGGGTTGGAGTAGATGGTCTCCAGAGGTCCCTTCCAATCCTAATAATTCTGAGATTCTATTGATTTTTTTTTTTTTTTCCTTTTAATGAGCAAGTTGAAAAGTTTTCTTTCTATTTTAATCCCACATAATTTTTCTAACTGTTAAGATTTTGGTTTGATCCTCTGCATCAAAAATCATCAGCAGATTGAGTCCCAAGACATACCAGTCCTATTTCCTGGCTGAGCTTCACAGGTCTTGCATGGGAGGGATTTAGCACCAATTTTGAATGGAAATTTACAATTCTCCTTTTAAAAGTTGTTAAATAGGATTTTGAAAAGATAACTATTCAGATGCCTTAGCCACTTTACTGGTTTCAATACTGCAGGATTTCTTTGTGGATTACGTTTTCATGCAGCACTGAAGAAAGGTATTTTGTTTTCGACTGACTAAATGTAGGTTTAGTTCTTTATTATGGCAACAGCCCCATCTGTCAGCAGGACATGTTTCCTGTTGCTCTAATCCTCCTCTGACACAAAGCCTTTTCAACCAGGCCCACAGACTGGTTCCTTGTCCAACATTTGTGACAAGAGCATTTACATTAACTCCCAGCAGCAATGCCACTGGAAACTTTGAAAATTCAAAGTGAAAACCACAGTAGCATCCTCACATCTGTCTTTGCCTTCTTAGCTCTTTCTTCAGCACTTTTTGCTTCATTAGTAACATCCTCTATCTCTGTTTGGAGTTCTGCCATATCATTTTCAAGCTTCTTCTTTGTATTTAAAAGGCTGGTGTTCTATGAAGGAGAAAGAGAGAGGCTTCAAGTTTCTGTCTCTGGTCTCTCACACATAGAGACCATCAACTACTATTCATTCCTCCACCCTCAATCTCTGGGCCCCAAAATACATCAGTCTTAGCAAAACTACCTGGGTGTGGAGGAGCTGGGCACGTTCAGTGGCATCCAGAAGCTCCTGCTCAGCCAGCTTCCTCGACCTCTCCGTCTGCTCCAGGGCTGCCCGGAGCTCCTCAACTTCAGCCTGCAGCAGGTTTGCTCTGCGCTCCACCATGGCCACCTGCTCCTTCAGGTCCTTCTGTGTCCTGAGAGCATCATCCAGGTGTATCTGGGTGTCCTGTATTTGAAGAGTCAGTTTTGTCCTAATGAATTTCTTAAATACTGTGCTCAAAAAATAAATCAACCAGTAGGTAAAGCAAGACCTTGAGAGCTCCCTGGATGCTGTGCAGGTGTTTCTGTGCCTCTGCAGCCTGGCGGTTGGCATGGCTCAGCTGGATCTCTATTTCAGTCAGGTCTCCCTCCATCTTCTTCTTCAGCCTCAGGGCCTCATTCCTGCTCCTTATCTCACCATCTAAAACACCCTGCATTGTCTCCACAATCCTTTCATGGTCCTTTTTTAGCTGGTTGATCTCCTCATCCTTGTCAGCAATCTTTCTGCTAATTTCTGACTTTATCCGAGTCAGTTCTTGGTTGACACCAAGGATTTTGACTTCTTCATGCTCAAGGGCTGCCTTTAAAAGAAAATGGGGAAAAACAAAGATGAGGGGAACATTTCAGAGAACATGATTATTGAGGTGGTACTCAGTCACTTCACAGAATGTCCCAAAATCTGACAATCAGTGTGACAATCAACCTTGCACACAGCTACTGCCAGAAAAGGGAACAGAAAGCTGCTCGGCATGCTCTTTAATACTTACAGTAATATTTAAACTAACTCACCTCTGCCTCCTCCAGAGCTAATTGCAGACCATTTTTTTCTATTTCAGCTTGCTTTTTTGCTTTCTCAAGGTCTCTGATAATTTTGCCATTTGCAGTAATTTGCTCTGTGAGATCAGCTGCTTCCTCTGTGAGAGAAGAATGGCATCAACCAGAGAAGCTGAACTCTATGCTTTGCTGCTGCATTCAGCACTCCTTTTGCCCACATAAATACATATACACAAATGTACATGTGTACACAATGGGACACACATCTGTAAATATGTACAGATAAAACTTGACACAACAAATTCATGCAGGCCAAATGGGGCACTGGTGTGGTTTCACAGCCTTCCTTACAGAGAGCTTGGAAGGGCCCTGCATGTGTTACATCCACAGATAGGCCATCAGAGTCTAAAACTACAGGTCCTGTCACTGTGTTCAGTGCATCTGTAAAAAGCAGTTTGACGAGCTGCTCAGTCTCCCATAGTCACTACCTTTGCCTGGGAATGGCACCTCAATATCTGCAGCAGATGAGGGCCAGGACATTTGCTTTATTGGCTTAATCACTTTACAAACATGCTTGACAGCTTTTGGTAAGACACTGATATTCTGCAGTAGGGTGGGGAGCACAGGAAGGACAGAGTGCTTGGTGCCCTCCTGCAGACATGAGTGTGCTCGTGGAGCACCTTGTTGTGGTTGGTCTGTGAAAGATAATGGGAAACCAGAGCCAAACACTTACTCTGGAGAGTGGAGTTCTCCTGTTTGATTGTTTCAAGCTGATCTAAGGTTTCCTCATAGGCATTTTTCACTTTGAAAACCTCTGTGTTCAGGGAACCTGTTTCTTTAGAGAGACCTTCCCGCTCCAGCTGGCTCTCCTCATACTTCCCCTTCCATTCTGCCAGGACCTGGAAGACATCATAGAACCACAGAATGCTTTGGGTTGGAAGGGACATCAAAGACCACCCAGTTCCAAATCCTCTGCCATGGGCAGGGACACCTTTCACCATCCCAGGTTACTCCGAACCCAGTCCAACCTGGCCTTGGGACACCTCCAAGGACGGGGCAGCCACAGCTTCTCTGGGCACCCTGTGCCAGGGTCTCCCCACCCTCACAGGGAAGAATTTCATCCTAATATCCAATCTAAACCTACTCTCAGTCAGCATTCCCCCTTGTCCTGTTACTGCAGGCCTTTGTAAACAGTTTCTCTTCATCTTTCTTCTACCTCCCTTCATGCACTGGAAAGCCACAATTAAATCACCCCAAATCTTCTCTTCTCTAGGCTGAAAAATCCCAATTCTCTCAGCCTTTCCGCATATGAGAGTCTATTGTGTTTCATTTCCTGCTGGTACTGAAAATGTTATTTTTTCTGTGACTACAGTTTGTACTAGATAAATACAGCAGTGTCTGACACCAGGACAAATTCCTACTGCCATGCCCTAGTGGCTTTAGTGGGATTCACCTTGATTTCAGCATTGACTGATGTACAGAGTGCTAGTTTGGCTTTCTGGAATGCTACATTTGAAAGATACCGTGCTCATTTATAACCTTATCAAAATTCCGCTGTTTCCTGTCAAGGGCAGCTGCAGATGAGTTTGCTCTCTCTATGTCCAGTGTCAGATCCTCCACTTCCCCCTGCAGCTTCAACTTCATCTTCTCCAAGGAGGCACACTTGGAATTCAGCATGTCTGCCTGCTGCCCTGCCTCCTGGAGACGCTGAGAGAGCTTTTTCCTTAAGGCACATAAATAAAACAAGCATACAGTTAAAAAAAACATTGCGTGATGTGTCTCATTTTAATTAAGACTATATGCAAATTCAAAAATTTAGGTCAGGCTACTAAAAAGTGGGTCTATGTTCTGCCCAGTATACATCTGGACAGCTCATCTCATCCCTCCACGTACTTGGCCTCCTCGAGCTCCTCCGTGCGCTGAATGGCGTCTGTCTCGTATTTTGTTCTCCACTGAGCCACCTCGCTGTTGGCCTTGGACAGGGCTCTCTGCAGCTCCCCCTTGGCCTCCTGCTCCTCCTCATATTGTTCCCGGAGCAAGTCACAGTCGTGGCGAGCGGACTGCAGGGCGTGGGCCAGGGCGTTCTTGGCCTAAAAATTACCCACAATATCACGTATTTGTGTTAGATGTGACCAGCAGGAGACCTCATGATCTTGCACATCTGAAATATGATCACTGCAGCGTGGGTAGAAGACAAAGGGCTGGGGTTTTGTAAGTGTTCAGAAAGCTGCCTTTACATGTCACCAACTCTACCACTAGAAAGGACCAAAAGTGATGCTTTCACCTTGGCATATGCTGTAACTTGTCTTCCCTGTGGCTACAGAAGCTAAAGAAATCACATAGACCATGGCTTTGAAATTTAAAAACATGAAAAAATTCACCAAGTTAAATTAACTTTCAGCATGCCAGAGTCATCCTTTGCAAAGAAATTACTGCACACAGTGCTTACTGTACACATCCTTCCCCAGAATAATTGTACTGTGTTAGGCTATAGGCAATACTTACAACCTCCCAGAAGTGTATTACAAATTAACTGAGACCCTGATATATTTTGAAGCCTTATCAGGTGCTCAGGAGTTCACACTACCTTGACCTCTTCCTCCAGCTGTCTCTTGAGTTCTTCTATCTGCTGTGTAAGTGCCTGCTTGCCTCTGGACAGCTGCAACCTTATGGTTTCTTTCTCTTTGAGTTGATGGCTCAGTTCACCTATGACAAGAGAGGGCAAGTTCTCAGTACTGTCCTAATTAAGCATCCTGAAAACACTCATATCTACTATTATTATTGTTATTATTATTGTTGTTGTTATTGTTATTATTATTTTAATAATTATATTATTATAACATTAATATATTATATCTATATTATCTATAAATATAATATTGTGATTAATAATATTGTTATTATATTATTATTATTAATAATAATAATATGTAAGTGGAATCACACAGCACTGTTTACCTTATCAGTTGTTCCCATTATGTACATATATACGTTTATCATTCCACAATACATTTTAATCTTTCAAAATGCATTTGTTGTTGTTCTTTCTTTATCTAAATTCACCTGATTCCCTAATTCTAATTGTATCCCTTATTACAGTTCTGATCCAATAGATGCTATTTTTTTCCTGAAGAAAAATGATTTTGAATATTTGCTTAATTGTTTTTGAAGCCAAATTTTCATTTTGAAGCAGTAGGCTTTTATGCTGTCACACTGGCTGAACTGACCAAATGCTGTAGCAGTTTTCCACAATTGCCTTTTGATGCAAGAGATAAACCATAAAATTCCATTTCATAAGATTTACAGTAACTGGAAAACATTTATTCCATACCACCCTCTGTCCTGGGGGCTGAAGTGCACCTATCCCTTTCTTGGAGAGGTGCCTACAGCTTATGCCATTACCTCTAGAATTCTCAGTACTTCTTGTAGTCCTCCAATATTGTCTTTCTCAGATTTTTCCTGAGCCATTTTACATTTTTTCTCAAAATTTCAGTTCTGTTTCCTCCATGAGCACACATGAGAGAATCTGTTTGCTACTGAAAGAAAAAATATCCTCTGAGCACATCTTTGTGCCTTCCTTACCAGACTCTGTCTGAAGCTGGGCTTTTTGCATCACCATCTCATTCACAGTCCTCTGGTGCTCCTCAAATTTGGCTTTCATCTCACTCATCTCATCTTCCAGGGTGCGGTACCTTTTTTCCAGAACAGCCTGAAAGAGAATAAGAGAGTAGAATCCGTGTAGGTGTGTTTGGAAAGTTCCCATCAGACAGAATAATTGGTAATTCAAGTTATAAAGAAACACCTTGGACTTGATAATGATCTCTGTACGACCGGCCAAGTCATCAATCTCCATCTTCAGCTCACTCTTCTCCTTCTCCAGCTTCTGCTTCACACGTTGCAGGTTGTCGATCTGCTCCCCCAGCTCAGCGGTGCTGTCCGCGTGCTTCTTGCGCAGTTCCAGGTCCCGCCGCATCTTCTGGAACTCTGCCTCACGCTTCTTGGTGAGCTCTGTTTGAGCAGTGCTGGCTCCTCCAGCCTCTTCAAGGCTCCCACGGATTTCCTCAAGCTCCCTGGCCAGCTCAGCACAACGCTTCTCTGCTTTTGCCCGCGTCGCTTTCTCACTTGCGGTCTCCTCCTCCAGCTCTGCAGCACGGGCCTGTATAACGAGGGAATACCACATCAGGAATTAAAGAAGGAACAAGTCATTCAGTGCATATTTGTCACAGTAGAACACCAAGAACCTTGTTTTGGAGACTGTAAGCAAAACAAACTTCCTTTGAATTTCACTCTTTTGGCATTGTAGGTAAAGACTTAGGAAAGGACCTACGGATCAACTCATTCTAGCTTTAGATCACAGCTTTCTGCTGCTGAATTGGGTTTGCATGGCCAGGTTTGGGTAGTGGGGGAATACAGGGGTGGCTTCTGTGAGAAGCTCCTGGAAGCTTCCCCTGTGTCTGACAGAGGCAATGTCAAACTATGGACAATCATCATTCATGGTGCTACAGTTTAAAACAAGCAACCAGTAATGATGAAGTAGGTACATGAAGTCTCTTGCCTGCAAGTCTCTGATCTTCTTCTGTAAATGAGTCCCCGCATTTCGCTGTTCCGCAATTTTATTTTGCATCTGGTTAAAATCAAAGTCTTTCCTGTGAAGGAGATGTTCTTTTTATTAAAAGAAAATATGCCCAGATAAAGCCAAATAATAATTTTTTTTCAATTTTTTTCCTCATACTTCCTTAATTTTTCATCTAAATGTTGTTTATCATTCTCCAGATCTACTATGGTTTCCTGTGCAAGTTTCAACTCTCCCTCAAGGTTTCTCTTTGCTCTTTGAAGGTCCATACACGCTTTTCTTTCGAGTTCCAAAGATCCTTCAACCTGCAACATAAACATATATAAACATGACTGATGGAACAGCTAAAGAACCTGCTCCTTCTCCTTGTGTTGAACATGCTCACGTGGTTCACTTGCTGCTCCAGCTTGATCCTAGCTTTGGTGAGGGTGTTAACTTTCTCCTCCTCTACTTGCAGGTCATCCAGTGCCTGTTGCTGGGCTTCTTGCAGGGCCTTCTTCTCCTTGACTAATTTTGCAACAGTCTCATCCAAACCTGTCACTACTTCAGTCAGATTTTTGACCTATTGTAAGGCAAAATACTTAAAGGTCACTAATAACTTTGGCCCTCACATAGGCAATGAACACAGACATTGTGAACTGAACTTGCTGTTAGACTCCCAAAGAAGCTTTGACTGTCTTATGGTCACACTCTACAATCTTTCTGTTCATATCAACCCTTCAGAAGTAACAAAGCAATGCTGAACTTTAATTTTAATGCATTTTTTGCATGCTTATGGGTTGGTTTTCCTGCACAACAGAGGTGCCCAGATGCAATGCCAGGCCCAGAGATCTTCTTACACAGTATGTAAGCATTCAAGTTTACTGAACCTATACACAGACAGAACAACTGTTATTAAATCTTGCAGAAATAAAAAGCACCTTGTTTTCAGTGGCATGTTTTTCCTTTTCTGCCTTGACCAATGTTAACTCAAGGTCATCCATATCTTTCTTCAGCTCAGAACATTCATCCTCCAGTTTCCTCTTTCTGGCTGCCAGATCAGCACTCATCTCCTCATCATCTTCCAGCTTTTCCATTACCTCCTTTATTCTAGCTTCCAGCTGGAATTTTAGTTTGATCAGCTGGTCACATCTTTCTTCAGCATCAGCCAAATTTTCATTTTCCTTTTTTAAAGAGAACAGAAATGTGTTTCATTATCACACATTGGCACTGACATTTGCAGAAATCACCTGCTTATTAAGTGGCTGGTACATGAAATGACAGAATTTCCTTTCAGCCCTTTCCTGAACACTCAGAAAAAACTGATGTAATCTGAAGAGCCAAAAATGATTTAAATTACATACAGTTTGTACTTGCAGCTGTAGGTCCTTTTTCTCTTGCACCAGAGTCACCATTTTTTCTTCCAGTTTGTTCCTCATGGCTTCTGATTTAGCCAGTTCTTCTTTTGTTCTCTCAAACTCTTCCTTCATCATGGCCAGTTCTTTCTCAGTTCCCACACTTTTTAACAGGGGTTTTAACTTGAAGTACAGCTTCATCCAGGGCCACTGCTTGACTTTCATGAATGCACGAATGTTGTACTGGATGCAGAGGATGGACTCCCTGGAACCCAAGTGATCCATCAGTACTGTGGATAAAGCCCATCCTTGAGCAACCAGACCTGGCAGAGGACACACACCTGTGGTCGAACATTCTTTTCAACTCAAGCCTCCGAAGGTATCCCCTGCACAAAGCCTGGGTCCGTGTGATCAGCTGTCCTAAACAGTCATCTCGCATCTCTTCCAGGACACCCAGCAAACCTGTCTTGAAGAACACCTGCAGCCAAAGAACAGACATCACTCCTTGCTGGGTTTACATTTCAATGCAGTCAATGCAGTTTTATCGTATGGCAAAATTAAACATTTACCTTAGTGTGTCCAAATTTGTACTGAGTATGATCTATCTCAATGGAAGACAGCAACTTTTCACACGCCTTCCTGCTATCAATAAACTTTCCTTCTGGAATGACACTGGAATTCAGAAGGTGGTATCTGATAAAATAAAGGAAAAAGCTTACCCATCGGTACCATTTTAGTGCACAGGATGCCACAAGAACAGCTGTCAGTTTGAAGATACAGAGGAAGGCTGAGTCTGACTCACACCTCCAGCCTCAAATAGCAAAGCAGTAAGAAAAGCAGCAAATAGCAGCAGGTCAGTTCAGTAGGTTCCAAGGATGTGTTACAGCCCTCACTGAGACTGAAGGCATGGACAGTCTGTTCTCTGGACCTGAGAGACTCTCCTTGTCTGTGTCACAGTCATTATCTCTACTCTAGGGATCCAGACCCTTGGCTTAGCTGGAAATTCAAAAAATGGATGGATTTTAAAAGTAGGGGAACTGCTTTTCTGAACCATATCCAGCTTCTCACATTCCTCCTGAACCACGTAACCCAGAATTAGACTTTGTATCCAACAATGGACTTCCTAATCCTACACTGAGAGATTATTCCATACCTATTTTCGGCATTGATACACAAATCTGCCCTCCCACGTCAATGGCTGGGCCAATGCCTTCAGTCAGTGCCCAGAGCACCATTTCAGCCCTTTTCAGTGACCTGCTCTGCAGCACAACCTGCAGAGGTGTAAGGGGGGAGTTACTGCTTTGTTCTTAGATATCTGACCCTACATTTGCCTTTGTTCTAACACAATGAGCAGATGACCCCAGCTGGGTTGCCCTGAATTTAGCAACCCTTTATAAATGTCATATTTGCAGCAGTTCCCATGATGAGATCTTTTTGGTTGTGGGGTTTAATCTATAAATTAATCTGCTAACGCTGTAGAAATGTTAGCCTGTAAAAACATTAACCCACTACAAAATGAGAGAAATCATTGGAACTAACTTGGATTTCCAGTTGAAGTCCCCTTTGTTACTGCAGCTCTATTTGCCAGTCAAACATAGCATTTCATCAAGAAATAGTATTGGATTTGTAAAACCATGCTAGTTAAAATTATTTAAACCACTCTCTTCAAACCTCTACTAGATAGCAGTTAAATACAGGATGTGAATAGACCACCCTCTGTATTTTTGCTGAAACCTGCTTTTGCCCAATTTGAGAATTAAAGCAAAAAATATCCAAACATTCAGATTAACAGGAATTAATTAAAAATAGGTTTTGGCACACAGTATTGAGGAAGGCATCTGGGTGAGCACTGCCCACACAGACCATGCTATTAATTATGCCTTTTGCTTTCCATGCGTGTTAAATATTAAAATAGACTTTTCCTAACAATTGTATCATGGATTGGTTTAGCAAGACTCTTCTTTCAAATGAATTGGGCCCAGTGCAAACACGAGAATGTTATTACTGACCTTTGTTTGAAATCCCCATATGGTATCTTGTTAGGAAATCCTTTCCTGCAGATCCGAATGCCTTCCAGAACACCATTACATCGCAGCTGGTGCAGAACAAGCCTGTGGTCCATCAGACCTGTGACAGAGCAGCATGGGAACATACAGATTGCTCCAGCATTGCTCATTCTGCCCCTTTTTATTCTATGTTCTATTCTATTCTTTCTATTCTGTGTTTTACAAATTACCTGGGGTCTTTGTTTCATTGGGAATGATGCAACGCACAAAGTGGGGATGAGTTGTTCGTAAGTTAGACATCAATTTATTTAGATTTTCCTGTAAAACAGAGATAATTTCTCATCTCTATATTATCTCAGTTCTCAAAGTGATTTGATTCTGTGGAAAAGAAAAAATTCAGAACTTTCTTTTCTAGTGAATCCTCTACAATCCTCTGTAGATACCAGCAAAGTAAATGGCTACTACTGAAGAACTTCCCTCCTGTCTTAAAATGAAAATGTGGCTGTGGAGCCAGGTGTGAGAGTCTGCCAGAGAACACACTTACCCGGAAGAGTACAGACACAGTTTGGAAGGAAGAGCCCTTCTTCTTGGTTCCTTTTGTCTTTCCACCACCTTCAGCTGGAAAATGAGACGACAGACCAGATGAGGGACTGCTGCAGATCCCTTTGGCAGTGTTATAATTGTGCATCTAACTCACAGCACACAAGCACTGACTCAACATTGATCCATGTCAGGTGAGTAGGGATCCCAAACTGGAAACATACTCCTGTGAGCTTACCTTCATCTAAGGAAGCAAAACTGGCATAAAGATGGCATAAAATTTTCATAGATGACTTCTGGTACAGCCCAATGACAGTTTCATTCAGAGGGTCCTTGTTCTTCTCCAGCCAGCCAGTGATGTTGTAGTCCACTGTGCCAGCTGCCAGGCTTGGGCTTCTGGAAGCTGCTGGACTTGCCCAGGTGTTGGTCATAGAGCTTGTTCTTGAAAGAGGTGTCAGTTGCCTTGGGGAACATGCACTCCTCTTCCAGGATGGAGAAGATGCCCATGGGCTGAATAGAAAAACAGTGTTTTCAAATAAGATGAATTCAAGCTATAATAATACATAGTGAAAGACATGCTAAAATTGAAGTACTGGAGGCATTTTATAGAGAATTAGCCTGAGAGGAGCAGGTAGGCAAGATTTTTTGTGAACAGCTGGCAAGATACCTAAAAGAACTTATAAGATTTTAATATACAGTTTTGAACTACCCAGACACATGTGAAAAACAAAAGAAGTCTGGTAAAAACTATGCAGTAACTTCTTAGAATGCAGTAGTGACTTCTTACTCAGAAGGAACAAAAAGCAGCCAGACATGAGACTTTCTGGAATTTTTATTAAACTGAGAAAAAAGAGGAGAGGAGGAAGAGGAGGAGAGGAGGAGGAGAGGATAAAATCAGTGTCATTTTAGAAGACAGGATACGTTCCCAGACAGTGAATAATGAATTAATCACAAGGGTAATATTTAAAGAAACAAAGGAGAAGAGATGTGAATTGTATTGGAGGCACTCAGCACAAACACTCTCAAGAACCCTTTACAGATCCCATTTCTGTGATTGCACAAAATGCTTAAGAAACTCACCTTCTCAATGAGCTCAATGCAGGCAGCCAGGTCCATGCCAAAGTCAATGAACTCCCATTCAATCCCCTCCTTCTTGTACTCCTCCTGCTCCAGCACGAACATGTGGTGGTTGAAGAACTGTGCACAGCTGCTCAAAGCTGTTAAACTAATGTTTGAGTAAGTGTGTTAATAGTGTTAAACTGCCTCTGATCCATTTTTTTTTCACAGAGATGACATGGCAAGGTCATCCAGACTGTCCCAAAAGGGTTTTGATAATGAACACACCATGGGTGTCCAGGCTTACAGAAAAGTTGTGCAGTGCAGCACATGGTTGCTGCAGCCTGCATTGGCCATGGCTTGGGTGGCCCTAATGTCCCTAAATACAGATTCTGTGGGGAGAGAGACAGCAGCTTCATGGCCATGCTTCTGCCATGTCTCTTCTCTTACAAAGTGAGTGATGCATCTATAAAGGCAGAAGCTGCTTCAGACAGATTTGCCCTGTTCTTGAGGGCTGCACTGGGGTGAGGAGAAGGAAAGGTCAGAGAAGACAAACAAAATTAAAAAAAACATTTAGAGACAGGCAGAAGTCTGAGAGTACTGCAAACCTCAAAGATCTCGAAGCCAGCAATGTCTAAGACCCCAATAAAGTGCTGTCTTGGCAGCTTCGTGTCCAGCTGTTGGTTGATGCGAACAACCATCCACAGGAAGAGTTTCTCATAGACAGACTTGGCAATGGCATTCACTGCCTGCTGCACCTGCAGGGAGATGTTCACACACCTGGGTCAATGCATCCCCAGAACAAACTGCCCCTCACCATGCCCACAAACAGTGCCTTAATGGCCCCCACCACTCTCAGCTGTGACCCATTCCTTTTCCTTAGGGAGAGGAATGCTCTCTGCTGCTCCTTGACCCTCACCTGATCCACAGTTTGGCCCTTCATGACATATTCATTTCCCACTTTCACCCGGGGGTAGCACAAAGCCTTCAGCAAATCTGCTGAGTTCAGGCCCATCAGATATGCTGCTTTATCAGCCTCTGGAAAATAAAATAGGAACTTGAAATACTTTCTTCTTATCTTGGACACACACAGAGCATTGGAACCAGCCAGAGCTCACTCTGAAACTTGCAACTTGATTGGCCTTGCCCCATCCACAAATCTTGACTAACATTCTCATTTACTTTTCTGAACAGCCTTGTAGGATTGTTCCTCATGACAGAGTGGCTACAGCAGCCCCAACAGATGTGGTGAAACCCATGAATGCGCTGCTGATGGGATAATACAGAGTTTTTCCCATCAGGCCACTTCTCCACAGTGTCCACCCAGGCAGAACAAGTGTGTGTGTGTAACCAGAAACTGGAGAACACTACAGCAATGTGCCCCAGGCACAAGGTCCTACAGCAGAGTCATCAGCAGTAAACTGGATGCAGAAGGTGCCTCTACTTGAGGTGGTAAATTGAAAATCAAACCTCTTTTTTATGTTTATAAAGGAACAACTGCATCTCTCCTGGAAGACTCCCTCCTAGTGAAAAATGACATGGAAACAGTTGGAAATAGTTCTCTCCCAGCCAGGAAGGTATTACCTTCTGTGCCATCAGGCTCTGCCTGCTCCTCACGTGGTTTCTGCTTGAACTTCATGTTCCCACTGTGCAGGATCGCTCCCATCAACTTGTAAATCCCCATTCTCTCATCGGGGCTGAAGCCCAAAGTGTCAATGGCCACCTGAACACCAGACAGATCAGCTGCTTTTAACAGCTGTGAGAGTAAAAGTGACACTGTCTCTCCTTGCCAACTGTACTCACATCTGTGGCAACAAGCTCCTCCTGGTCATCGATGCTGGCCACAGAGATCTGCCCTTGGCTGATGAAGGGATAGTCATAGGGGTTGGCTGTGACCAGGAGCATCTCTGAAAGGCAAACACAGGAGTGAGAGCCAGAGCCTGGCAGGGAATATGGAACAATGGCTCAGTAAGGTTTCATGATCTCTCCTTCCTTTTGCACCCCAAACTCTTGGTTTTCTACCAAGAGGCCAGAAAGAGTGAAACCTTTCATCTTCCTTCCCCTGGCTGAGCAGTCCTTCCAGTTCAACATGTTGTGAACTGAGCTGAGCACTCAGCACCAGCAGACACAGAACACAGGCCATCCACAGAAACAGCTTTTAAGAAAGAGGCTTTTAGTTAAGGCTCATCCTCTCATACATGACACACACAGAGTGGGAGGATGGGAGCAGGAGCTCCACCTTGGGAAATGTTCTGTGGATAGCTGGGAAGGATGGGCAGAGTGGACCGAGGATGAGTGGAGTGGCTGGGTGTGTGGCAAAAGAAACAGATGTGGGGCATGAGTAGGGAGTGCCATGGCAGTGGGAAGGGGGAGAAGGTCAGAGGGGCTGCACTGGAAACAGGAAATAACCTTTTCCCATGTGATGAAAAACTGAGATAAATGGTTTGTGGATCAAGGTACCTTCCCATCCTGCACACAGAATTGCTTACCTTTCCACTGAAGATTATTCACAGGATCTGGCCCATCCAAGTTGGAATTACCACACCACAGAGAATAGCAAGGCAGAGTACACTGGTCACCCCTGCACCTCACCTGCACACAGTTTGTGTCAGAACTTGCCCAGGGAGGATAAGTGGAGATGGAGTAAAGCCCTAGTGTGACCTGCTCTGCAGAGACACAAGTACAGCTTGGGGAACCCGGGCAGGGCCGAGGCTGCAGTGCTGAGGACATAAATCAGCACATGATCCCTGCTCTGCACAGACTGAGGTGCTGCCAAAGGGGCACCTGGGGGTGTGTGGCACATGGCATTGTGCCCTGGGACCACTGGGCCCTCTGTCCCTGAGCTGGCACACGGAGGGAGATGTTTCCCACCCTGACTTTACTCAGTGTCACCAGGTGGTGGCTGTCCTTACCAAGCAGTTCAGGCTTCTTATTGGAGAGGATCTGGTAGAAGATATGGTAGCTTCTCTCAGCTTTCAGTTGGAAAGTGACTCTTGACTTTTCCAGCAAGTCTGTAAAATGTATGCACATTTTAGACATTTTTCAGGTTCTTTACATTCTAGCCAGGCTGTCGGCCCCTCTCAGTTACTCACAGGTCTCAATGTCACCAGAGGCCAGTTTTCCTGAGGTTCCAAAATGGATACGAATGAATTTACCCTAGCAAGCAGACAGAAGGTGGTGATCAGTGCAGCAATCTCAAGAGTGTTTTTTTAATCTCTTCAGTCTTAGTGACATCATCACCAAATCAGTCTGATTAGCTTTGATATATCAAGGTAGATAAAGGGGAACACTTTGCTGTAGCAATGTGAGCATGAAACAGCTGCTAACACATCAGAATTTCATAAAAAACCAAGAAATCGGTCAGCAAGAACATTTTTCCCAGCCAAGGGGCTCACAGTCACAGCTAACAAGAAGCCAAAGAGCATTAAAAACACAGGAGGGCAGAGGGGCAGACACAGGATGACTCACAAAGCGAGAGGAGTTGTCATTTCTCACGGTCTTGGCATTCCCAAAGGCCTCCAGCAGTGGGTTGGCACTGAGGATTTGATCCTTGAGCATACCCTGCAGGAATAATTGAATAATTATTGAAAAACACCATGAGCTATGTGGAAGGAAGAAGTGAATCTATGGCATGATTACATGTGCAGCCATGTGCACTTCAGCTCTACAGCAGCACCTCCTCAGCTCCAGCGCCAAGAACCAGTGCTGGGGGTAAAAACCAAATAACTCATTTTTCTCTTATTTCTCCCACAGGTCTCAGCCACAGGGACAGATTGATCCATGTTAAGAAACTGGAGCTTCTGATTCTTCCTGGGCACCAATTCTGCAGATCTTCAGGTTAAGCTACACCTTGGCAGTGTCAGTGTCAGCTCTGGTGGTTTGTATTTGCTGTGGTGCTGACTGCACATCAGCCCCTCCTCCTACTGCCTTTCAAAGAGCAGCTGAAGCTAATAAAAGGCATTTTGAGGTAAGAGTGTGTCACCAGTGCTGTCCACAGCCACAAGGGGATAACATCCTGAACTGCCCTTCCCCAAGCCCTTCCTCCTCACACCTTCACCCGGGACTCCTTCGTGGTGGCCGGGTCCCCGCTGGCGGCGATTGTCGCGTAGTACTGGATGACGCGCTTGGTGTTCACCGTCTTCCCAGCACCGGATTCTCCACTGGCAAAAGAAGGCTCAGAGTGAAGAATAATGCCCACATGTTGTTGGAGACAAAGTCCAGAGTGGCAGATGCACTTACGTGATCAGGATAGACTGGTTTTCACGATCTGTCAAAGGGAAAATACCTGCAGTCAGAGAAGCTGCAGGGAAAGCGCCGCTTCTCAGGTCCCTGTGACCTGCTGCCCATCAGGGGGAATGAAGCAAAATCTCTGCAGACAAAACTGAAAAGGTGCATGGTCTACTCTCCACCTCTCTTTCCCTCACTATACTCCACTTTTTGTCTTCTCTCCTCCTCCTTTGCTCATCCTGTGCTTGTTTTTGCTTCTGTCTTTTCCATTCTTTACCTTTAATACTATTAAATATGGGACAAGACTTTATTCAAATTAAAACCACGTGTTTTGGTGACAGCATTTCTACCAGCTCTGTTCTGGATCCACCTGCTGTTCCTTGAAGCCACATGCAGGTGCCCAGGGACTTCCCAGACAGTGTGTCCTGTCCAAGTGCAGCTGCCCTTTGCAGAGGTCCGTGGCAGGCTGCTAAGTTTGGTGCTTAAACCAGAAATACAGATCATGTGCAGCACAACAGCACAGTGCTTGAAAAATAAAGTAAATATTTCAGAAGATGGGGATAACTGTCTGGAGCTGGTTTTGCATCAGGTAGGCTTGATAATAAAAACCAGATAATCTGCAGATAAAGTACATAATCTTCAATATTACACAGACCAAGCACTCTGCAAGAGATGGTAAAAGTGACTGAGCCATAGCAGTATGGAATGGTGTGGTGGTTTTAAGCTTTAAGCCTGTTTTGCCCTTCTCCTAATCCATATCTGACAGCAAAAATGAGTAAGTGCACTGGTGATTTTAGCCAGCACTAAAACCCACCACAAATGGCACTTGGCAGAAACTACGGTTCTGACACACTTTTTTACTCCAAGTCTGGTCAAAATAGAAAAGCTCACCAGTCAGCATGAACTGATAGGCGTTGTCAGAGATGGAGAAGATGTGTGGAGGGGCCTCCTGGCGCTTCTTGCCTCGGTAGGCCAACACCACCTCGGGGTTGTACACGGGCAGCCACTTCAGAAGAGACCCGAGTAGGTCTGCAGGAAAAAAGCAGAGGTGTCACTGAAGTCCAGCTCCTGCAGCTGTATTTTCTCCTTTGCCAGAAGAAGGAACTTACATAGATCATCCAGGAGCTGTAGCGGTCCTTGAGGTTGTAGAGGACAGCAGGTTCATGCAGGTGGGTCAGCATGGCCACATCCTCAACTCTGTCAAACTTAGGTGGGTTCATGGCATACACATCATCAGGTTTGACAACAACTGTCTGTAGTTCAGGAAGAAAGAGCAAACCCTGGTTCAGCAACTCTTGACAGTCCTTCCACAACCACAGAGAAGTAATAACATCTCTAAGGCTGCTCTAATTAATATTTTCCTTTCTGTTTAACCGTGCTGAGCAAGATATGGCTATTTCAGGACAAACACTTCAGCCAGCCAGGAACTCTACAACACTGGTACTGACAGGATGTAAATTTACTGGAATTGCTATGACCACATGATTTGTGCTGGACCAGATCTGTCAATACATCATCACTGCTTATGAACTTTAGGTCTCTGCTGCTCATGGCTGTAAGAGCCTGGGGCACATCTGCTGGCCAGCCAACCTCCCAGCCTCCAGGTTTGCCATGGCAGTGCCAGAGAGCCGGGACACGAACTGTGCAAGACTCATCAACAGCAGATCCACCCTTGGGACAGACTTGTTCCACTCCTGCCTGTGGCCATTCCCAAATAAAGAAAGGCTCTGTCTGTACCAAACAGCGCTGTTTTCTGGGCTCACACAGTGAGGGACCACCCTGTCACACAGCCAGAGCCCGCGGATGTGTTGTGGGGGCAGCAGATGTTCACAGCTGGCAGCAGCTTAACTGAGCCAGCACTTTCTAAAAGCCTTGTAGCACCTACTGCCAAGATGTTGGTTGTCCATGGTTGTTCTTTCAACTCCTGCAGTTATTCTTACAAAAGGTATCAGGACACAAGCTGCTAAGACATTTCAGCATTTTGGAAGATTAACACCTTGGATGCTCCTCTGGGAAACTGCAGCCAGTGACACTGACAATTTCACATGCAAAGGCGACTGGCAAAGTATCTGTCTGCTCAGCTACCAGTAAAAGAAGGAATTTATGAGTGGATATAACAGTGTTAGCTGAGAAAGTGTGAAAAACTGAGACTGGCAAGGCTATGATCCAACCTGGTTTAGAGCATTGCCTGATTTTTAGAGCCCAAATCAAGAATAATTCCACAATGAATACTTTTGTCCCGCCATCCAGAGCTAAACTTTCCTGTGGAGGCTGTGCTGGTCCCAGTCAGAGGCCAGGGGAGGGCAGGGCAGATTTCCTGCCTGAGCTAGCCTGGTGCTTTCTCAGTTCATCCCCAGCAGATGCCCTGGGTCCCTAAGCAGGGCTGGGAGAAGGGCCAGAAGGAATGCACTTACTCTGCCATCCTCTGTCTCAACAGTTATCTTCCCATCCTGTGCAGCCTTAATCCTTCCCCTGGTGTACTCCACCTCGGGATCAGCCACAAAGCAGTGGGTCTTGGCATCAAATGGCTGATTCTGGGCTTCTATTCTCTCCTTCTCAGATTTGCGCAGGTACGGTGCGGCCTCACCAAAAATCTCCATGCCAGCGTCTCTGCTCATGGCTCTGAAAGACAGACCCAGCTGGGCTGGTCCCATGTGGTGCTTAGGGCAGAGTGGAGCTGAACATTCACCCCCAGCTGGCTGCTCCAAGCTCACCCCTCCCAGCTCTCAGCTGTGTGTGGTGAGATCTTAGAGCTGTTTTTCCAAGCTGGAAGGTGCAAAGGCAGTGAAGAAGAGCTTCCACCCTTCATGGCCCTAAGGCAAGGAGATCCATGTCCAAAGGAGGAGGAGGAGGGCTCCCCAGGAAAGTGGTCAGATCTGAAGGATTCATGTAGTGCTTGGAAAAGGGAAGCCCTGAAGATTATTTTTCTTCTGGTTTTTAATTTATGACTTCCCCCACTCTCTATTGACATGGAACCTGTCCTATTCCTTTGGTGAGTAGCCACAGTGGGCAGGAATGGACATGTGCTGTGGTTCATTAAAGGAGCTCCTGGAGGGGGAAAAACAGGCACCTGCCTACAGTGAGCACAGGAGAAAAGCCAGCTCATGCCAGCCTGGGCAAACTGTTAGTTTTCATGCCTCAAATCCTCACCTCAGTCAACAGACAGCAGGAAGGACCCGGCTGACATCTCGAATCTCTGAAAGAGAAAGAGTCAAAGGTCAGACTTCAACTAAGCTGCAGCCTCTCCAAAGGCCCAACACCTCTCATTGCAAGTAACTGTGCCTTTTGAGGGCCAGGAAAGTTCACCAGAGACCACTCTTTCCCTGCCCAAGGAATGGCCCAGCGGGGAATCTACAGCAGAATTCCCACCACAGTGCGACAGCCTTGTGAGGCTCCAAGCATGGAGAGCAGGACCTGTGGCAGGAGCCCTCTGTCCCTCTGCAGGTCAGTCACAGCATGGCCATGAGCATGGACAGGACATCAGGAGCTACCAACAAGGGCTTTCTCCGTGACAGCTTTTATAGGCTCAGCTTAGTTCCCCTGTTCAGCCCCTTCCCTATATTTGGAAGGAAGGGATCGACACTCCCGCCTGCTCACCAATTCACGTTCATTTTTTGCCATATACAGTGTGTAAAGAAAGGACCTGCTCTTCTCTACCAATTTTAGTAACTCTGGGATCTATCTGTGGTTTGTTGACTTTTTTTTGGTGGAAATTTCCTTTACTGGGAACGTGCTCTCCTGCCAGCTACAACCACAGCCAGCACTTCACTCTGACCAGCATGTCAAATGATAGCACAGAAGGGACCTGCCTCACTGCTCCTGCTCACAGATTGCCTGGGCAGAGCTGCACAGTGGTGAAGGAACCCAAAACAGCTCTGTATGGGGTGGAGAGCAAGGCCATGGGAAGGAAAAAGAGGATGAGGATTCATGTAGGATCAGTTGTGGCAATTCTTGTGGCTTATCCCACTGCACGGGTCAGGGAGGACAAGATGAGAGGCCACAACTGAAATACAATGTGACAAACATGGCAAATTAGAGACTAACCAGAAAGAACAACACCCAAATCTGGCCAGGGGTGGACAGTTCATGAATGTCAAATCACAAATACACTACACAAGTTTAACTTCAAATACAACTTTGACATTCACTGCCAAAAGCAGCTGCAGAAGCCCCATTACACCATGCTAAGGATGTTCTCAGAGGTGTGACTCCAATTCCCACACGACAAGGATACTGGGAAAGTGGGCTTTAAATGGAGATCTCCCAGTCCCAAACACACTGTTTGGTACAGAGCAGCCAGGCAATGGCTGGCAGGGCAGCAGCTGGGAGTCTTCCCACACAGCTGGTGCAGGAGAGGAAGGGTCTCCTCCATCCTGAGCCATTCTGGCTGTTCTGGTCGTGTGTCAGTGTTCAGCACCCTTTGTTTGCACTGCATGGATGCTCACCCAAGGCTGCAGGACCAGCCTTCCCTGAGCAGAACAAAGCCAAGACTTGTGTGAAGCCAGAAGCCCCCTCCACCCTCCCCAAACAGCTCCTGCCACCTCCCACAGCACCACCCTGAGCTGGAGCACCCTGGGACATTTGCAGCTGCTGCTCCAGCACAGAGGATGTCACCCTGTCTCTCGGACAGTGGCTGACCCTGTTTGCCCGATGAGAGCTGAGCCTGTGGGCTTGCAGCAGAGTCACTGTCACTAGTGTTTTGAAAAACATGTTTCATGTTGCCCTTAATTTCATTTAAGGTCACTAAAAATGGACACCACAGCCACATATCTCATGAACTATGAATTCCTAGAATCCCCCTAAGCCTGGAGGATGAGGGAAAAGCTTATTTTAGCACACATCCCTTGTGATCGGCCCTTTGAACTCAGCACAGTGGATGTGCTGAGAGCAAAAGGCTGAGGCACACCAGACCAATTTGTCTTTGACACCAAATAGCCACTGTAATTCAGAAAGGATGTTTCCTGTTCCCAGGCATGCTCAAGGCAGGAGGGGCTGGACCTCACCCACACAGTCATTGGGGTTGGAAACGGTCTCCAAGATCAAGTCCACCTTTGACTGATGCCCACCTTGTTACTCAGCCCACAGCATTGAGTGCCACATCCAGGGATGGGCACTCCACCACCTCCCTGAGCAGTCTGCTCCGTTGTTTGACCACCCTTTCAGTGAAGAATTTCCTCTTGATGTCCAACCAGAGCCTCCCCTGGCCCAGCCTGAGGCTGTTCTCTCTCCTCCTGTCCCTGTTCCCTGGGAGCAGAGCCTGACCCCCATGGCTGTCCTCTCCTGCCATGAAGTTGTGCAGAGCCAGAAGTTCCCCCTGAGCCTCCTCTTCTCCAGGCTGACCCCCTTCCCAGCTCCTTCTGGAGCTCCAGACCCTTTCCCAGCTCCGTTCCCTTCTCTGGACAAGTCCAGCCCCTCGATGTCTTGGTTGTCATGAGGGGCCCAGAACTGGACAGAGCACTCAGCAGTGCCCAGCACAGGGGGCTGGTCACTCTCCTGGTCCTGCTGGCCACACCATGGCTGGTACAGACCCAGCTGTCATTTGCCTTCCTGGCCACACTGCTGGCAAAGTCCCCACACCCAGCTGTGGAGTGAACAGAAAAGAACAAAGAGAAGCCTCAGGCAGTGAGAGCCACAGTCCCAGTTTTCTCTTGTTGTTCAGGTGCCCAGGTGGGAGCAGAGTGCAGGAAAACCATGAGCAATGACCCATGGCAGCTGCAGGTACATCTGTTGCTCTGTGCTGCCAACATCATTGCAGACACAGAGCTGTCCTTAGGTGAAGGTCATGAGGGTGCTGTCACCATGAGCCACATTGCCTTGCAAGGCTCTCTTATCCCATCCTGGTGCTGCCAGAGAACTTTTATTGCTGCCCTTCATTCAGAAAAGGGCACACTCATAGCTCAACATACCCCCGCAAATTAAAGGTGGATTTACTGGTTGGTGTCTATCTATTTTTGCACAAAGAACTTCGGGAGAACAAGGAGGTTTTGTAAGCTGCAGCTGAGTAAGTTCCCTGGCACGCTGAAGGAACCTGCTTTATTAAACTAGTAATACACAGCTTAAAACATGGAATGAGCTGGCTCTTGCACAGAGACAGGTGCAATCATTCCTGCCCAGGTCTCCCCAGCACATATCTTCACACTCCCAGCAACTTATACAACTGATCAGCAACTTATACAACTGATGTAGAGCTGCTGGAAGTCAGGGGCTAGACACTCCACCAGCAGCATAACTTCCCTTATAAAACATCAGTTTCCAATTGAACCAAACCAAACTTTAAAATTCTCTTCTAGGAGGCAAATAGTCAGCTTTTTGCCTTTCCTTTTAGGCCACCAAACCTAAGAACAGCCCAGTAAAACTGAGGGGCTTGTCAGGTCATGTCTAAAGGAAGGATTGTGGCCATTCCCCCTGCAGCACAGAGCAGCACATCTGCTCTACTGAGTATAGACTCACTGCCCCAGGGCTGGGGAGCTCCTGAGCAGCCACAGCACACACCATGCTGGAGCCACAGCTCCTGGAGGCTCCAGAAGATCACACTGCTTCAGCAGCAGGGGCTGGAAAGCCTTGGTTGCAACCAGCAACCTCAGTGCATTGGGACAGGCTGGTCCCAGCTCTGTTTGAGTCCTCAGCAGTCCGTGCATCGCTTGTTCTCCCTGACTGAAAACACACACTGATCTGCAGAGAGGTGGTGAAGGGCCCAACTCAATGCTCAGCCTCCAGCTCCACCCTGCAGCTCACTGAAGAACACATGAGAGCCTTCATTCATCCCAGAGCCTGGCTGTGGGCTGACAGGAGCACATCCTCAGAATGCTGGGTCAGTGCTGGGCTCATGCAAGTCTGATCAAATGAGAAAAGGCTCAGAAAATGTAGATATATCTTCAAAGACATTGGAGAAGGGGAGAAAGAGCAACAGCATCTCCAACCACACATGACCTTGACCCAAGCTGGAGATGAGGAAAACTTGCTTTCTTCCTCAGGCTGTGAACAAGGATGAAGTGGCAGCAGGAGGTTGGAGCACAGATCTCCCAAGAGTCCTTCTTAGCTGAGTTTGTCCATGATCTGGACTGAAAATGCAACACAGGGCTTTTGCAGCTGTTTAAGATCACAGTCTCTGCACCTCTTTGGGCCCTGATTCTGTCCATGCTGGTGCTGAGAAGATTCCTGAAACAGCCAAGCTTCACCCTTAGTGCGGCTTCAGTATCCCTCATTTGCTGAGCTCCTCCATGGGCTATGCAGGCAGCACATGAGGAATGTGTTGCCTTCCTTGGGCAGACAAATGGAGCCAATCTTCATTCCTCAGACATCTTGTCACTGGTTCCCAGCTTGGGATGGCAGGTGGGGTTAAGGATGTCAGCCCCTCCAGGAGAAGGGGATGCTGTTTTCCACTGCTATTTTCCAGGATAAGTAGGCCAGGGCTGGGTGTGGCACACCCAGCAGAGTTCTGGGGATTGGCCCCTGCCAGGACTGTGCTCTGTCCTCCCCTGTGCATGGGGTACCCAGGGGTCCCTGCTGGCCTTGGGGAGCACAGGTTCACCTTGCACAGCACCGGGCTCCAACAAATCTGGTTCCCACATGAAACCTGTCACCTGGTAAGGTTTCCAGAGAGGAGACCTGCTTGGGCAGCCTGGCCCTGCTCAACCCCACCCCAGCACCAAGCAGAGCCCCAAGAGAGGGGACCTGTCACAAACCTTCCCTGACAGAGCTGAGCTCCCTCCTTGTGGGCTGGGCACTGCACTTGGGAATACAGGGAATTTGGGTACAATGAATACAGAAGCAGTTTGCTTCATTTCTTATGCTGGACCGGAAAAATACTGAATATCTGCTGACAGTGTCTCGAAACATGCCCAGTACATTCCCTTCCCCTCCTTGACCAGCTCTGCCTCCTCCCAGTGAGCACTTAGCACAACCCTTGGGCCTCCTAAACACGCAGGGAACACATCTGTGCTCCCTGCTGCCACTGAACAGGGCAGGGAAGTCATAACAGTTGCCTAAACAACATTTTTTGGTTTTTAAAAAGAAACAAAACTGCAAATAAAGAAAAAAATGCCAAAAAACAAATCCCCACAACCAACCACAACAACAAAAAATAAAACCCCTCACTTCCAAAGTGCCAGGGGGAAAATGATGGGCATGGTCAAATTAGGAGGGTGAAAAAAGCAGGACATCAGTTTCTCCCTCTGCCATGAGCCAAGGGACATGTCACTCCATCTGAAATCTTCCTGGGCCTTTGCCACACTCCCTCCAGCCTGCCATAAGCTTCCTGGGTCAGCTGGTTCTGCCTTTCAGGGCACACAACAACAAGGTGAAGGACACGACACTGCTGCCAAAACATTTGGGAGAAGACAGGAATCCTGTATTTGTCTCTGTAGTATGAGTCAGCTGCAAATGAGCTTTAGAGAAATCAGTGTAACAGGTGACTCTTCCCAGGCTGCAGCTTATGTGCTGATTTTGCAAAGCTGCAGGACAGAGGTCTGCCTTGTCCAAATTCTGCTTTAACTTGGCTCAGCTCTAACACCAATTCTTTCTTCTAAGCAGGTGCTTCTAACTGATTTTATTTTTACTTATCAATACTTCATACAATGATTTTCCAGACTGTCCTTGGTGTAGAAAAGGTATTTGGCCCTAACACAGTGCTGCAATATTTAAAATACAGGCCTGATGTGACAGCAGAGACCTTGAGAAGGGCAGACAAAGGCTGCTGTGCAGAGCACAGCCACAGTACGGTAAGGGATGGGGCAGAGGTGAACCCTGAGGACTCCACAAACACAAACAAATCACAAAGGATCAAATAAATACAGACCTGAAGGTGAAACCCATGGAATAGAGCAAGTATCCAGTATCTGTAAAAATGCATGAGAGATGTCACTGCTCTGAAATAGGTGAAGTTCACTGTTCTTCATAATTTTGGAGAGACAGAAATTTTCCACAGGCATTGCACCTTCCCTTGGATGGGAACATTCTCTTCCAACCCCCACACTCAGAACACCAGTGCTACCTGCAGGAGCACTTGTGTTCAGTCTAGCACTCTCTGGAACTTGCACCAATGGCTCTGGTTAGTCTCCTGTGGCCCATTCTCTCAGGTTCCCTTTAAAAATGCACATTCAGCTCCCAATATGCATGACTAGAAATAAATACTGCTTTCTAGAAAAGAAGGAAAGCAGAGCAAGAATATGAAGTTTGACCACTATACAAAGTTCTGATAATATTCCAGTCAAACCTAAGGAAATAAAAATATATAATGCTTATATAAATCAATCTTTATTTTCAAATGCTGCACTGCATAAAATGTATCTGATTGCCAGCCCTGTGCTTGGACACAGTCCTCCTCCACCCTCCCCACTTCCCCGCTCAGCACAAGCAAAGCAACTACACACACCATCATTTGCACCAGAAGAAAAACCTATTTGCAACCAAATTCTCTTTTCCTTATAAGTGAACAGTGTTCACTTGGAAAAATCACCAGAAAAATACATTTCATTTCTGCATTCAGATGAAATTATCAAGCTCACTACAGGGCTGGTCCCATGCATGGAAGCTGCTGTTGCTTTCACTGCTCTTCACCTTCTTAACCTGGGTAAAGAAGCACTCTTAAGGTTCCCCTGCTTCTAATAGTGCAACTGCCTCTCCCAGAAGGCAAAACAATGCAGAGAAACCAGAGGGCAGAGCTCCTCTGAGAACACCATGGCCCCATGGCTTTGCATCAAGTAATTCTCCTGCAATGACTGTTGTCTTTGCTGATGTCTTGCTAGAACAGCAATTTCTTTTACCAGCAACACACTGGTATGCTCTTCCCAAGTGAAAAGTGCTTTCCACCCTTTGCTCCCAACAATGTTTCAGAGAAGTCCCAAATTTCATTCTGTACCCAAGATCTTGTTGGAAATTATATCCATGGGGAAGGCTCCATAGAGATTTTTGGTAATGGGAATTTGCAGAAACATGAATGCCTTTCTTATCTGGAAGAAAGGAGACCTGCTTGGCAGGATATTACACTTGTGTGCTTCTGCTTGAACTCCAATGTCCAATCACAGCCAAACCCACAGGTGACATTCACAGCAATCTTTGAAGACCTTCTGGTTTAGGATCTATATTTTCTCATGTGTGCAGCAATAGAAGCTGAAATCTCAGCGCTCCTCTTATTCTGGCCGTAGTAGTCCACAAAGTCACCATCAGGGCCGAGAAGGTACATAATTATTGTGTGATCCACCTGCAAGAGAGCACAGCGTGCCCTGCTGAGACCACAAAATCACAGAACACCAGCTCAGAAGGGAAATGCAGGATCGGGAGTGGCAGTGGGATACAGGGAAGTGCAGGATACAGGGACATGCGAGATCAGGACCAGCAATGGGACACAGGGAAATGCGGGACACAGGGACATGTGGGACACAGGGACATGCGGGATCGGGACCAGCAGTGGGACACAGGGACATGTGGGACACAGGGACATGCGGGATCGGGACTAGCAGTGGGATAGAGGGACAGGCGGGACAGGGGCGGCCCCTGCCGGTGCACTGAAGCAGCCTCACCCATGCACATCCCGGATGTTCCCATTGGATTTGTATCAAAATTAACTCCACTGCAAATTTATTTAAATGATGTTGCAAGTGCTGTCTGCACCTAACCGTGACATCTTTCTCAGCAAAGACACAGAGTTCTGGAGCTGGAAGCCATGACTGCTCAGGACTGGAATACAGCCGTGCTCTGAATTCAGCTGCATTAGAAATGAGAAATCACAGCCACTTTGGAGCACATAGGAAAAGAGCCAGTCAAGTATGCTACAGATCAGAAAGAAATTCGACTGCTTCCAGGCTTGCTAGCTCCTGTGCTACTGTCTGCATTTCTGGGATTGTTTAGAACACACTTTGGTAAGGTTCTGAGCTCACAGGAGGGCATTGTGGTTCTGACAGCTTAACATACCACTGCACATGGGGCTTCAGTAACGATCCAGTAGCTGATTTCAAAATGTACACGCTGCTCTTAGCCACAGTCTTTTGGGAAGCAAAGGTTCCTTTTACTCACTATGTAATCATTGTCCTCATCCTTGGGCCCTTCGCTGTAGTACACACGGTATGCTTTAGCCACTTGGTCGATCTGTGCCTTGCTACCAGTCAACCCGACCAGCTTCGGAGAAAATTCTAGATAGAAATAAGACATTTACACATTTTAGTGAAAAGAACCCCTTCAAGAGGCTCCTTTTCAGTGCTCTGTACTACGTGCTATGAGACACGGAGGAAGAAAGCAGGAATACCTTTAACATATCTGGCAATGGCTTCTTGGTTGTCCCTCTCAGGATCAATGGTGATGAAGAGTGGGGTCAGATTAGGCAAAGATGGAATTCGATCTGTGACAGTAACAATTATTATTTATTTTAGAAAACCAGGTATCACCTCTCATCTTCCTTCAAACAAGTTCATAGCCATGTAACATCAATCCAAGCCCACCTCAAGTGACTAAAAAAAGACCATTTTGTGCAACTTTATTTATGTAATTTGTGAAGGAAGCAAATGCCATGAGATATAATGCTCTGTGTCTGTGCTGGCAGCTTCCAGCCCCCCAGCCAGAGGCCCTGCCCTGCTCAGTAGGGATGACAGACTGGATCTGCTGCAGAAGAGGCATGTGTTGGAACACTGGCTGACAAGGAAAGCATGCTGGGATGGTGGAGCAGAAGGAAACGTTAAGACACAATCCAGGCTCTTTCCTTCCTGTTCCATCAAAAGCCTTCACGTTGGTCTGATTTCTCCCATGCTGGGTTACTATTACCCCTGCTCAGTAACTCTTCAGGGCCTGCAGGCTAAGAAAACACAGCTAACACAGAGCCTTCCTCCTCCCTCCACTCCATAGCACAGCCTCGCTGCTTCAGGAGAGAATCTCATAGAGATGGACAAAATAGAGGGAAAAAATTCCTAACATACCTCACAGTCACTTCTTGGCAAAAATACAATGCAACGTATTTCCTGTAACCTGCCACCATCTTTTTATTCCCAAGTCCCCTGCTGTGGAAAGATCAGTGCTTTTATGCCAGACCCTAGGGATTGATCTAAGTATCCATTAGCAATTAATTCAATTACTGAATAATAGCCAACAGCATTTTTAAAAAAATATATTACCAGTTGCCACCATTTGTGGTATTTATCAGAATAAACCTGACCCTCCCAAAATCCCTGTTTATGGACCCCTACATCAACTGAGTTCCCATACCAATTTCATCTACCACTGCAATCATTTTCTCCAGTTCATCAGGACAGATGTCAGGACAGTGAGTGAAGCCAAAGTAGATCAGCACCCACTGGCCAATGTAGTCCTTGCTGGTCCTGGGCTGTCCCTCGTGGCTGATGAGTGAGAAGGGTCCTCCCAGCAGCGGCTTCCCAATGCCTCGGTTTCGTTCCTTCTCCAGCTCTACAAAACATAAGTGGGAATCAAACACACCCATGCCACGATGCTTCCCAGGCAAGCCTTGGGAGCAGCTGAGTCACACACTGCTCAGGGTCCTGTCAAGATCCACCAACACCCTTCATGCAGGAACCCAATGTACACATGCCTTCCAGAAAGCATTCCTTTTGGACAAAATCAAATATATCACTAAATTCCTTTGAAACATTATATTATCTTTCACTGTTACCTAACAGCACTTTTGTAGGGAAAAATAAAGACAGATATCTTGCCTGCTGTGAAACAGCAAAACTGGCATCTGTTGAAAACTGAACATACCCTAAAAGCTGCAATACCTCTGTTTTCAACAGTAAATCCACGAAAGGGAAATGTGTGGGCAGTTCCTGCAGGAGAGGGCAAAGCTCAGGGGCTGCACGGCAGGAACCCAACGAGCCCACAGCACCCAGCTCGGTGTCTGGGCTGCCCAGGCTGGCACAGAGTGCGGCCAAACACAACTACTCTGACCTGGGAACTTTAAAACGCTGAACCTTGAATCGCTTTTCATTTTTGAACATTTTCTGCGGCACTTCCGTAAACACAGGGACGAAGTGGCCCTGTGGCAAAGACGTGACACGGTGACGATGCCCAAGCAGGTGAAATAAATCTGAATGCCAAGCGCACATCATCTGAACACGAAAAACGCTTCGTCTGAACACGAAACGCGACACCCCCGCACTCACCTTCCTCCTTGTGCCGCTTCATCACCTTCATGCCGGCCAGCAGCCCCCCGCCCAGCACCACGGTGGCCGCCAGTGACCGCCACGACACGAGCTGCGGGCGACAAGGGATGTGGTGAGTGCCGAGGGCACGGCAGCGGCCCGGCCCGCCGCCCCCT